ACCTTTTGGCTTATCATTTTTCAGATGTGGTAATGGTATCCTTATGTGCCTGAATGTAATTGATCTGTAGGTACTGTGGACTCACTCAGGTGTTAAAGCATTAGCAACCAGTCTTACTTTGCCTTTCTTTACAAATGTTACTAAATCTAAAAATCCATATCTCACACAAACTGAGAAATAAACCTGAAAATCTTTAGAGCTCTTTTGCAAAAGAAACCTTTACTTCCTTCCTCACTTCCTACTTTCTTTTGCCCTTCTGTCCCCTTCCCAGCCCCTCTACACATTTTGAATATTGATGCTGTTCTGTTCTATCCTCATCCTTCTTTTGAGACTAATGAAGAGAAAGAATTTCCTCCTGCAGAAAAAAACTAACCATTATGTGGTTGAATCTGGGAACATGGATTTAAAGATACGTTTCATTTCCGCTGCTTATTCTTTTCATTAGGAGAAGTGGGATGTTCACTAATGGTTTCACCTTTACCATCTGTTACACTTAACTGATGCTGAGGCTCTGAGCTTTCCCTGGGCTTCTCTTTTTAGATCAGGAGTTTTTAGGTGTGTCAGTCATACTGCAGCCTCATTAGTGTCTGCGTGACTTCCCCCAGGACACAGGAAAAGGTTGCACATTGCTCTTCTGAGAACAGCTGCGGCACACATTAGAAAATAGCGAGGTAGATCAATATCCAGAAGGAAGGTTTCACCTTTTTTGAATTGAAGAATGTCAGGAAAACATTTTAAGTAATGTATGGGTCCTGGAATCAGAATATGTTATAGCAGCTGGGTAGTTTGCCTGTCTGCCATTTGCAGTCATGGCTGTCAGGAGTGATTCTTATGCTGTCCATGAAGAAACTCTGAGCCTTTTTCCTTTCTAGCAGCTATGGATGAGTACCACAGAGCATGCAAAAGCTGGAGATAGCTGAAGAAAACTCTGAAAGCCTTGCTCTCATTTAAAAAAAAGCCTTTCTGCTTCTGTCAGTGCCTTCTGCTTCTGAGCATTTGCAGACTCAAGTTAACTGTCCAGCTATTATTTTCTATTGTCTACTTTCAGTTATTCCCACTGGAATAATTATCCTACTAAGTAATCTTCCAGTACCCTAATCTTCACTTAGATAATAGTTTTGTATAAGCCAATGGCTTTATTTTAATTTTCTCCCTCCAAATTTAATACAAAGTATGTGTGAAAGCATCTTCTGCTGTTCAAGGAGAATTAAAACTGCATTCTAGGTATCGGTCATCAAAGTTGCCTAGACAGACAGCTCTGGGGGTCTTCAAAGTGATGGTTGTATTTGGTTAAATTCTACATATCCGTAAGACTGCACTGTCAGGCAACTTTCAAGTCTGGAAATGTATATTTAAGTGTATAAACCATATTTAGGTGTGTATTTTCCCCTCTGAAGCTAGTAGTATAATATAGGTTGAGTATTGTGTACCTTTACGTATATGGGTTCACATCAGCAAGATCTCGTATTTATTTTCGTGTGTATACGTGAATATTCTTAAAAACTTCAGCCTACTGAGTTACTGCTTCTAGTTACATGGCCTTAAACCAAAGTGAAAATATCCAAAAATGACAACAGTGTCACATTTATAGATGTATTATTGTTGTAGTTATTGCTTGTGTACTGTGGCCAGGGGCATTTCTTGTATTTGTGTTACAAAGTCAGAACAAGACTGTTTCTGTCCCATGGGCTCACATCCAATCATGAATATAGAGACAAGTGGATGCCATGCTCTAGCAGTTGGTGAAATACTAGAAGCATTGTAAGAGCTGCTCTGAATCCCTGTTTTACCATAAAGCTTTTGCTTTTCTTTAAGCTTTTTCTTCTGTAATTGATTTATTATCTTCATTTTCGTATTTTTTTTCATTGATTGTAGCATGCACAATTATGGACAAAATCAAAATGAGGTAATGTGTCACTAAGATCATCACATGCTAAAAGCTGTTGGAAAGTCTACTTCTTAATTTTAAGCAAATTTTCATTTTCGAGGGAAAGAGTTTCAATTTCAAGGGAAAAGAAAGACTTTAAATGTTTGAACCTAATTAATGGTTGAAGGAAGGTACTTTGAAATAGCCATACCAACATCTCTTGGAACACTCTAGGAACACATCTGTGAAAATTAAGTTAAAAGCTTCTGATTGTGTTAGATTGAGACGACTATCAGAAACAAGGCCCAAAAGTGCTCTGAAAATGGCTGCAGTTCAGGTAAAAAGGCATCCGGAGTGGATGGCAGGCCATTGAAGTGTCTGGATAGCTCAAGGATTGTGGTTATTTTCCCCATCAGATTGACAAAGCCCTGACATTTTCATGTAATGTAAAACTGCATATTTGTTCCAGCTTTTAGTTGAAGACAGTATGTAGAATGCAGAGATTGTATAGAGATCAATTTTTCTATGCAATTATTTTTTCTTCTTTTTTTTTCTTTCAACCAATGCTACTTCAAACAGGGATTTCCTCCATTCTGAAAATAGACATACTTAACCAAGTAAATGCTAGAAAGATGTAGTGACTAATGAGTCAAGAAAGATAAATTTAGGCTGCAGGTACCTTACATTCTAATAGTCAGTTTAAGAAATCTGTGATAATAATCTGGAAATGCTGTTTATTTTTACTAGAATACTGTGCAACAAAACCATGAGGCTTCCAGAAGGATTTGTTTCTCAGATAGAAATGAGTTTGATGAAATTCATTTTCATAACAGGGAAAAGTTGTTCTTTTTTACTGTTTTGAAAGGGATTGACAAAGTTAGTGAAGCAATTCCTCCATCTTTATTATCATGTAATTTATATTTATATATCATGTAATTTATATTTATATCACACTACACCATGAGGTTCGAAGGAGTGCTTTGGATGAGTTGACTGACTTGAAAGAGTTTATGTTCAATTTTGAGGTATTTTCTGGAATTATATTGTATAAATATTGAAATACATGCCACTAGATTTTAGCAAACTTGGAAATGTGGTGATTCTTCTCTCTTTGTGTTTCTGAAAATCTTATTTTATCAGCATTGCCTTGTGAAGTTTTATCCTAAAAGTACTCAGAAGGCATAAAGGTTTATCAAATACATAAAGTCAAAAGATTTATATAATCTATCAGTGATTTCAGTTCTTCTTGAGAAGTCAAATTTTGGTGCCTTTGAAACATACAGTTCTCCAGCCTTGAGTTCTTAGCCCCAGTGTCCACCTGAGCAAAAATGGTCTTTCAGATGTCAGACAGTGATGATTTTCCTTCCATTCATTGTCTTTAAATCTCAAGGTAACATATTTTGTTGAGTGTTCAAACAAAAGTGATAACAATAAGTTAATGCCTTTTTTTTTTTTCATGGCAGGTATGGCAAAATTGATTAACAAACCTGTGCAATATTAGTACTGATTATGATAGTCACAATAACAGTGCCACCATGCTTCCCCAAATAAGCAAGCGATTGACCCACCTTCTGAATGTGAAAACCTTAGAATAATAACAATAATAAATACTTTTTGTCTGGCATGCAGTAGCACAGTGAATTGGATCATGTTAGGCTTCATCTGCTGCCTAATGCAATGTAACGGCAGATAAAATAAATCAAATGGATGACACTCTATTAGACTTGAAAGATGATAGCTCTTGTAAAGCAATTGATGTGGGAATATGTCAGTGCAGTACATCTCAGATGTTTATTGAAATCTAGAATCTTTGAAAATGAACAAATGCATATTTTAACGGCTATGAAACAAGTGACTACAAATACAGCAGTATGCTTATTACTGGCAAAGCTTTTTCCTAAGACAGAAATCAGCAACATTTTATTTTTATTTGTGTGCTTGATAGCTTTCTTTCCCCGCAAGGGCATCTTAGAGGCATTGACTTGAACTTCGAAGCAAACTGTTGTGGATCAGTTTAATGATTATCATGGTAGCTAGACTCAGATTTTAGTTACAGAAGTCTAGTAGTGCCTTCTAAAGATCATTTGTAAGTGTTGGTGAGTTAGGATTTCATAACATAATTTCAAGCAAATAGCATACAAAAATATTGTTTGCATTGTAATAAGCTGTGTTTATTGAAGTCAATTTTAAGGAAGGTTTTAATTGATTTTTCTTGCAAATGTTTGTTCATTTTGAATGCTTATTACAATTCACTCTGTATGATTCATTACTTGAGCATTTTAAGAGTTGATTTACTAATTATTTTTCAGTGAATAAGTATACAGTTTCTGAAAGAGTTGTTAACAATTAGGAAGCATATTAAGAAATACCCTTTCCCTTTCCTTAAAGCTGTGAGTTTTTTTTATTTCTCTTTTATGTGCCTCATGAATGTGGAAAGCTCAAGTATCACTTAATTTGCAGAATTTTAAGTATGGTTTTATTTAATCATTATGATGGAATTATGATTTTTTTTTAAACATATTTAGAAGAGGCTTCATGCTCCTTTATTTGTAAAAATAACATATAGCACTGAATACAGTGTTTATTTAATGAAAATATAATGCATTTTCTTAAAGTTAATAAATAAATTGGTCAAAATTAAATGTAGTCTGTTAAAGATTTTGTCTTCTGGATCAGATCTTTGATTCTCCTCTCAGTAGCAGAATAACAAGCTGTAAAGAATAAAGCTGTGTTTTTAAAGTGGAATTACTACCATTAGTTTCTGGATTTGTGCTGCGTGAGTTGCAATTACATACAACATTTTGAGTCTGATAGAACAGTTTGAAGCACATTTGAATACCGTAACTGTAGTTTTGATGTTGTAATACAGGTTTAATTCAACTTTAGTCTTTTGGAGTACTTACAAGTTTTAGAGTTCTTAACACTTATTCTGCTGATTATTAAAATGCTTCTCAAATGTGTTTTCCCGAATAATCAATAGGTACTTATAATTTGAAACTAATGTTGCAGTTAATATCTGGACAACAGAGTTAATATTAAATATGTTTGTTCTCTGATGTAGGCATTGCATGATAAAACCAATAACCCCAGCAGATTATAACAAAAATATAATTAATGCTTTTCTTCTGTGCAGCCCACTGTTTGTGAACGGGAGCTCTGTGTATTTGCTTTCCAAACACTAGGAGTAATGAATGAAGCTGCTGATGAAATTGCAACTGGGGCTCAGGTAGAATTATCTAATCCTTGTTGCACATCTAATTGTCTATAGTATACATAGTGTTTTCAGTCTCTTTTAAAATTTATTTTGACTTCTACTCTTTGGTAAGTATTATTTATTTGTGCAGTCTTACAGCTGTAAATACACTGTTCTATGCATGACATTTTCAAATTTTACTAATGAGGTGCTTCCATTGTTTTTCTTCCATGTAATTAGAGTAACCCTGTTTTCTTCTGTTGCATTCAATTAGGTCACCTGGGTTGTTAATAAAGGTAGCCGTTGTCATCTGCAGATAATTCCCATTTATTTTCACCTAATGAGCCATTACTACCCACATGCAATTAATAAGCGACTTCCTGTTCACTGGTGTTGGGATATAGCTATCCACTGAGCATCTGTTGTTTTGATCATTAAATACCAGTGGGAAAGTTCTTACTGATGTTGCTACATGGGCTTTTTTTTTCTCTTCTCAAGGAATAGAAATTTAACATAGTCTTGCTTCCTGACTCAATTATTCAGTTCAATTATTAATTTATTTTTATCCATGTAATTACTTGACTTTCATGATTTTAAATATGCCTTAAATGAAATGTTTTAAGCTGTGTTTCCAAATTACCATTTAAATTTAGTTTACAGTAGTTGTAGGGTTTCAGTAAATTCAGAAGTTAAAATGACCTTTTAAGTTCTTATGGAAGAATGCATTCCTTTCTAATTACCTAAATATGTATAACTGACTGTGTCCTTTTGCAGTGAGCAGCGTTTTTTTTTGTTTTTTTTTTTGGAAGAACAGGGATTCAGTTCAGTTAGCTTTAACCAGCACTAGTGAGTCTAGCCTCTGGAAATAAACTATTTGGCTAAGTGCCTTTAGTCCTTTCCTCAAAAGAAGAAACTTGGATCAGCATACAGCAGCTTCTTCACTTGAGAATGTAACTGTAGGATCTGAATGGCAGCTCATCATAAAAACAGAGAGGTGCACTGATGAAATCCCTCTTCACCAGCCGGAAGCCCTCCGAAGACCATACCATTCTATGGAGCTGGAATTTTATTTTCTGAATGTACAAATACTTACATGGTACTTAGGTACACAAACTAGCTCTCACTTCTCTTCAAATACAGCTGACGGGAGAGGTGGTCCTTGTTAATTCTTACGGTATATTTTGGGAGATCTTACTACAGACATATGCAGAGTTAGCACTGGATCTCTAGAGCACCTCTTCATCTACTTTTCCAAAGAGTGCTGAATTTTTTCCAGCTTAAAACAGTGCTTTAAAGAGGTAGAAGGAGGTTTTGTTGATTGTCTTATTGGACTTTGGTGACTAAATTTTGCTGAGTCTCACTGTAGTGATATCATCACACTGTGCATTGCATCTGATCTAGCTGAGCTCTTTTTCCTATATGCAGAAAGAATTCAGTACTTTTAGGATTTAATTCATCTGAGCTGTTTTTGACGTTAGTTTGGGGTGGTGTGAATCACAGCATAGAGTATCAGCACTGCAGTGCTTTCCTCCATGGACTGTGAAGAGAGCCTCATCTCACTAGTGTATATATCCAGTATATTTCATCAGACAAATCTTCCTCCAGGTCTCCAAAATATTTTGTGTAGTAAAGAGCTCTAAGTGCATATTCTCATTATTGGAAATCACATTCTGATTTCTGTGCTGTACTTCAAACTAGTTTCTTAAGGTAGACATTGTGTCACTTCCAATACTCTGATGGTTTCTTAATAACAAGAGACTACTTAAAACTTTCAAGCCTGAACTCACCTTGCCTTATTTTAGTCATGGTCTAAATGCCTGAAAATTAAATACCTGACTTTTTTGTTTGGACTTCCTTCAAAGATTCTTGATGGAGAGAGGTACTAAAAGACTTAGGTAATATGAGAGATTTGTCGTCATTAAATATCATTTTTCCTCCTTGAAAACATTTAAATCCTAACTCAAGTTCTTCAGTACCCACTGTTAAACAAGAGGAAGATTATGCCTGGCTATATGGACATCTAGTCAATCCACAGCACTTCCTATTACCAGGGAACACATACACATACTTGTATTATAACTTTTTATTTAGACTTATCTCCAAGTTTCACCTACTCCATGTTCCATCATCTCAAAATGATCTCAAGGGAAATCAGGGGATTAATTAGGCCTAATCTATGCAGAGTTTCCCCACATTAAAGCAATCTGATGGTATCATGGTGGGTGAGAAAACAGAAGTCAATAGTTGCTTTAATGAAGGGTTTGGGATGCTGTAGAACCTGTAAGAGCTGTGCCAATTTTGAGACAGTGGCCTGCTGTGCAAGTAATAATGCAAGACAACTTTGGATCATGTGTCTGGGGACTAAGACAACTCCTCACTATTAATGTTTGGCAACTGAAAGCAAAGGAGTGCCTGTGAGAAACAGGGCGTATGAACTCTGGCTCAATTTCATGGTAATACATTTACACAGTTGCAGTCCTAGCTGCCTGACCTGGCTGTATATAAAGACTCCCATTCTCCTTTGCAAATGCTAATGCAGATGCTCCATTTTGAATCATCCATCACACTTGTAACTATTATAAACTGAAAAGTTATTAAAATAGCGTAGCAAAAGGAGTGATTACTTAGATAACTTCATTTTTTAATATATCTGAGATATTTTAAAACAGAGAAAATTGTTCATTCATGCTAAAGGAGCAGAGGAGGAGAATGGTGACAGTATGACTCACTGAAGCAGAGTTGCTTTTTCCTCTCTTTATGATTCTTATTTTCACTCTTCTCTAAAGGACCATCATTTCTATTTCCTTCAGATGATCAGATACAATGGCAGACATATAATAACTTCTAGAATAGCTTGAGCTGTGAAATGAGTTCTGATCCATCTGGGACTGTAGGAGGAACTGGGGATGCCTACTAAGTACAACTAATCTTGGCTTCTTGTTCCTTTCATGGAAAAGTCTGTTTTTACAGAGGGATGTTTTCAGAAGTCACAGAGAAACCAGGGGAAATAAGCAGAAATAAGCCTATTTGCAGATACATCTTCGTGTAGCAACCTTGAATTTCATTATGAGCTGGATTTAAGTTTCACAGCTGCCAGAAAGCTACTGCTTCTGTTTTGCTGTGGTCTGTTTTTAACCTCCAAATTACTAATTTTGAAACGTTTAAATCACAAATTGTGTATGTGCCTACATGGACATATATGAATGCATGCCTGTACACATTACACACGTTCTTACATGATTTTGGAAATAAATATTCAAATGGACTTATAGTTACAGAATCACAGAATGGCCAGGGTTGGAAGGGACCTCAAAGATCATGAATCTCCAAACCCCCTGCCACATGCAGGGCCACCAACCTCCCCATTTACTAGACCAGGCTGCCCAGGGTCCCATCCAATCTGGTCTTAAACACCTCTAGGGACGAGGCATCCACAACCTCTCTGGGCAGCCTCTTCCAGTACCTCACCACTCTCGTAGTAAAGACATCCAACCTAAATCTTCCCTCCCTCAACAGAAAACCACTTCCCCTTGTCCTGCAGTTATCAACCCTTTCAAAGAGTTGATTCCCCTCCTGTTTGTGGGCTCCCTTTAGGTACTGAAAGGCTGCAGTGAGGTCACCCTGTGCTTCTTTTCTCCAGGCTGAACAAGCCCAGCACCTTCAAGTCTTCGTAGGAGAGGCTCTCCCTCCCCCTAATCATCTTTGTGGCTCTCCTCTGCATCCTCTCCAGCAGCTTTCTGTCTTTCTTGTACTGGGGGCTCCAGACGTAGACACAGTACTGCAGATGGGGCCTCACAAGAGCAGAGTAGAGGGGGACAATCACCTCCCTGTCCCTGCTGGCCACTCCTCTTCTGATGGAGGTATCCTGATCCAGGATACCATTTGCTTTCTGAGCTGCAAGAGCACACTGCTGGCTCCTGTTAAGCTTTTCATCCATCAGGATCCCCAGGTCCTTCTCTGCAGGGCTGCTCTCAAGGACTGCTCCTTCCAGTCTGTATGGATGCCTGGGATTCCTCCGGCCCAAGTGCAAAACCTTGCACTTGGCTTTGTTGAGCCTCATTAGGTTCACCCGGGCCCACCTTTCTAGCCTCTCGAGGTCCCTCTGAATGGCATCCCTTCCTTCCACCGTGTCAACCACACCACTCATCTTGGTGTCATCAGCAAACTTGCTGAGGGTGCACTCGATTCCGTCATCGATGTCATTGATAAAGATGTTAAATTGCACTGGTTCCAAGACAGACCCCTGGGGGACGCCACTCATTACCAGCCTCCGCCTGGACATAGAGCCATTGATGACCACCCTCTGTCTGTGGCCTTTCAACCAATTTCTTATCCATCGAGTGGTCCACCCATCAAATCCACATCCCTCCAATTTGGAGATAAGGATGTGGTGGGGGACCATGTCAAAGGCCTTGCTCAAGTCCAGGTAAATGACATCGGTCGCCTTTCCCTTGTCCACCGATGCCGTCACTCCATCATAGAAGGCCATCAGGTTGGTTAAGCATGACCTATCCCTGGTGAAGCTGTGCTGGCTGTCACGGATCACATGCTTATTCCTCATGTGATCAGTCATGTTGCCCAGGAGGATCTGTTCCATGATCTTACTAGGTACAGAGGTGAGGCTCACCGGCCTATAGTGCCCCGAGTTCTCCTTGCTCCCTGTCTTGTAAATGGGAGTGATGTGACCCTTCGTCCAGTCATCCAGGACCTCACCTGACAGCCAGGACTTTTCAAACATAATGGAGGATATGATGATGATATGATAGTTAAGTATTACAGAAAGAAAAAAGAAGAACTGGACTCCCAGTGGGAGTTGTGCAAATGACTTTTTAATCACAGCACTGTTCTGGATTTAGCAGAAACAGTGTTTACTAGTGTTTCTATGATTACAGTGTTCAGAAGAACAGAATGCAGTGGTACAGATTCCCTTCCTCTTTCTTGAGCAGCGTTCTTCATTGACATCTACAAGGCTACACAGATCCAGCATGACTTCATTTCCCCAAAGAATGAATTTAATCCAGGTATTAGCTCATGAACAAGAGAGAAACCAGGACTACAAGGAATGTATCTGGTACTTTTAAGACCAGATACTGGTCTTACTAATGCACCTGGAATAATATACTTGGTTTAGACCCAAAGCCTTTTGAGGTCAGTGGAAGTATGGCAGTCTTACTTATTTCTTGTCGATGGCGTGGTTTGGATGATATAATTAGTAATGAAATAGGATATTTCTAGAATGTATAGAATAAAGAAAACTGGATGATACAATATGAAACTAAATATATTGAATACAATTTTTTTCTTCATCTCTAGGTAGTTGATCTATTAGTATCAATGTGTCGGTCTGCATTAGAGTCACCTAGGAAAGTTGTTATTTTTGAGCCATATCCTTCTGTAGTTGATCCTAATGATCCTCAGATGCTGGCCTTTAACCCCAGGGTAAGTAGTTATCTTTGATTATGTCATAGTTTGGTTTTAATCATTACTTAGGTTTCAAAGCAAGCCTTATTCTGGAAGGTCCTTTGCTAGAAAAGTATAACTCCAGCATATAGTGTAAGCATGTGATTGTTTTCAGAACTCAATACTTTTTTTTAGTTGTCTCTGAGAAGGTGTTTGCAAATAAACTGTAAGTTCTATTTAAAGTTATGAAGTCTTGAAGCCAAAAACTTATTTTAAGATACTAATTGTAGGTGAGAAATTGTTGGGGTTTTGTTGTTTTTGTTTCTTTTTTCTTTTTTGTCTTTCTCTCAATGTACACATTGGACCCAGAGAAAGACTGCTTTTAGGAGATGTAGGCGACAGAGATTTTTAGTCTAGCTTATTCATGAAGTGGTTATTATTGTCATCTCACTTTCCCACTGCAAACTGTTGTCCTTAAACTGACTTCTGTCAGATGTTGGACACAAGAATAGAATTTGGTACAACTGACAAATTTAGAATTGTTTGCTCCTTAAGCTGCAAATGCTGCCTCTCAGGGAAGCCCTAGGAAAGTTGTGAATCCATTATAGATCACCTGATCCCTCCTCAAGGGTGTAAATGGGGACTTTGGATGTCATATATGGGAATGCATTTCACTTCCTGAACAAAGGCCAACTAGCAGAAGAACTACTGGTACTTCATCAGAGGAAGTGGTGAATATAATCTGTAGCACGCAGGAAGAATTGACAAAGAGGCTGATAAGGAGACAGGTAGCTTGGACAGGAAAAGGGTATAAAGTGGTATAAGGAAGGTGAAAACTCATCATAGAATCATGAAGAAGACCTGTAAGATGATCTGGTCCAAATATCCATTGATCACAGCCATGATGGGAGAGGAGCAGGGAGGGCCCAAGGATGCATGGCCCACTCCGTCTCCTCCCAGCTTCTTGCCAGCATGAATGAGATGAAAAGCCCCGGACAGGAATTGGCTAGACCCAAAGATAAGTGAAGGTACAGTGAGGTTCCCAAAGGTGATGTGGCCTCTGAAGCTGATGAAGCACACAGTGTCAAGCTTATCTGCTCAGAAAAGGTGGAATTCCCTGCTGGTTGTTCCCAAGCAGGGTGCAGGCAAAGGTCAGAGTCAGGCAAGGCAGAGCAGAGAAACAGCTGAACAACCTCAGATGTTTTATAGAGCTGTTAGCAAAGTAAATGTGTTTACTTAGCATTTTATTTAGCAGTGTTTGTTAATTGCATACTTAATAGTAGCACATTATCTGAATAACTGGCAGTGCCTGTATGTAACTACAAATATTTGTTTAAAAAGTGATATTTTAAGTGAGTTACATTGTTGTATGTTTGAGAGTCTAGTGACATTCAGAAAACAATCATCATGGGTAATATTTTTTTTTTCTGTAGTTTTCCTGGACTGTGAATTAAAAAATCTGCATGAATAAAGTGGAAGGAAGCTTGCTTAAAAACTACAAAACAATTGGTTTGCTGAACATTCATCCTAACTTTGATTTTATACAGACTGAAAAAAATTGAGGGTTTTGTACAACTAAAGACCAATAGTCTTAATGTATTTTCTTATTTTATTTTACATCAGAAGAAGAATTATGACCGAGTCATGAAAGCATTGGATAGTATAACTTCTATTAGAGAAATGACACAGGTGAGTTTAAAAAATGTTTATATAACATAACAGTTGTTTCTAGAACTAGGAGGATATTTATATGAGTCTGTGATGGGTGGAAAAGGTGATAGGATGAGTCCTTTTTTTAGGGCTAAAATTTGTGCTAAAAATATCAAACTACAGTATCCACAAAGGCAATGAAATTTAAGTGATAAAGTAGAATTCAAGTCTTTTGAAGTTTAAATAAGAGATAACAGCAGATAGGGACTTTATAACAAGATAATCACCAACTGCTGCATTTCTGGGAATATCAAACTGTGTCTCTTTGTTTCCAAAGCAAAAGAAATTGATTTTGTGATGATGCTCTGAATTATAGCTTTATCTCTGATACAACAAAACACTTGTTCAGCTCAGTATGGATGGTGACTAGGAACATTGGGTCTCTTGGATCACTACCATACAATTTCTCAATATTCACAGTAGGACAGAATCTGATAGCTATTCTTATATTTACTGTAACAATTCATTTCCCAAACAGACTCTCTAAGTATAACTGCTTATTGAAATCTCTCACATACCTCTTGCTTTTCCAACTGTTTTATAAATGTAATTTCACAAGATTTTATAAATCGTATTTTGTATATATTTGTAAAGTACTTTGGGAATATGGAATGCAGAATGATGTATAGAAAGCAGTAAAACACATTGAAAATAACAATTGAGGTATTTCTGTTAGTTTTTGTAATATCTCCTAAAATAAGCAACATTTTACTTCTTTCAATATTAAAATAATTATTAGACTGAAGGTTTTTAACCGGAGTGCTTTGCACTGTGATAGAAATCAAGAAATGCCTTCAGGGGAAATATAAGCTTCTAACAGTATTTTACTTTAACAGTTTTTATCATGAAACAGATTAAAAAAAAATGTGGATTAACTTGGATTTTATGGTATTTTGAAAAACTTAATTTTGTGATGTCCCCATCCAATTTATTTGTCCAAGAGCTGAACATTAGTGCATATGTTCTGCTGTTGTCCCTGAGATCACCAATGTTTTTTTATAATATACTCTTTTTGATGTTAATTATATGCTTATTATTTTTCTCCAGGGAAAATAATTGCTTTTTTAATTCTTCTTGTTGTCAAAACACATTTATAACTGTACAATGCTAAATGTCACCAAAGCTGTGATTTAAGCCTAATAATGAGTCCCATCTATTCATTTTTATAGACGAAGTCACAGACGATGTAAAATATAAAATTTAACTTTATGATTTCAACCAGCTTAAAGAATGTAATTACTGTTTTCTAGGCACCTTACTTGGAAATAAAGAAGCAGATGGATAAACAAGACCCACTTGCACATCCTCTTCTACAGTGGTATAAAATTGACTCACATGGCATGATAATTATTGACTTGCCAAGATGAATGAATAATTGCTTCACCAGTTTAATTTCCTATAAGCTCATCCTAAGAATTAATGCCAGAGTTAACGTGTGCAAATGCTTTGTTCCTGAACTGTTTCTGGATCTCACTTGGAGTGTCTGAAAACAGTGGAAAGACTCTAGCTTATTTTACAGCTTCAGATCTGACTTTGTAGCCAAGATGTAGTCTGCTTTAATCTGATAGGTTCAAAAGCCTGCAGCCTCATGCTTTGTTATGGCTATGCATTACGCTTTTTAGAGGGAAACTTCTGCTTGTTTGTCATGTCTAATGCATATAATTGTTTCTTCTTTTAGGGTTATTTCTAGTAACAGATCACATATTGTGAAGCTACCAGTGAATAGGGTAAGTGTCTGGGTTAATTTCTCATTTCTCACAGCTCACATTAGCATAAATGGGAGTCCTGGCCAAATGTAAACATCCATGTTTAAACCAGTCTCATGGACTCTATTAACAAACAGTGGAGAGAAATAGACAGTTTTGAGTTATGACTTATAGCATCACATTGTGAATATCTAAAACAGGTCAAACAAATTATAGTCAGAAAAAGACTGTTTTAGATGAGTAGCTCAAATACAAATATCTACCTTGCAGTCATCTGAGATTGGATGAGAACTTCACTGTTTTTGTTACCAGTTGAAGTATTGCCATTGCCATTTAGAATAACAGACACAGAATTATATGAAAAGCAGTGCAGACAAACTACTTCCATCAGAAGAACCACATATGAGCATACTATAAAAACAGCATAGCTCTGACATTTTAGATGGGTGATGCTGAGATTCATTTCTGAGTATCTTTGGCTCTGATGCTCTGATTAAGGGTGTAGTAATCTGCAGCCTTTCAAATCTGAACCTTAATTCAAAGACAGCTTTGATCAAAATACCATGAGAAATTGTTCAATTTAATTACCTTACTAGAGACATAGTAGGCTGAAATCTGTTTCAGAAACTTCCGTATGTTTCATAAACCAAAGAGTGTTTTTGTGTTTGATTCCAGATAAAAGCTATGGTAATTAGACCAATTTCCACTTAGTTCTTGGTATATAAATGTAGTCGTAGTTAGTAGTGTGCAAAACAACTTGCTAGATTAAGAACTACCATTCTGGAAATACAATGCTATTGTGTTCATCAACTTCTTTTCATATATGCACTATTATATTTTGCAGCAACTAAAGTTTATGCACACTCCCCACCAGTTCCTGCTTCTCAGCAGTCCACCAGCCAAAGAATCCAATTTCCGAGCTGCTAAAAACCTTTATGGAAGTACCTTTGCATTTCAGTGAGTCCATATGTTTGTATTAATCAAAGGTTACCAAAATGCCACACTGTCTTTTTTTTCTTCTTGCCATTTGAGGTTTGCAGCTGTGAATGTACTGCTTTAAAGGATTAATGATTTCATTTTGAATTTTACACTGCAGATTTTAACACTTTCTCTTTTACTTTTTCAGTGGTTCACACATTGAAAATTGGCATTCCATCCTGAGAAACGGCTTAGTTGTTGCTTCCAATACGAGGCTGCAGGTGAATAATTTAGATAGACTTTAGCTAACCTGTGTATGTTTGATTACATCTTAAAATCAGGTGAATTTTCAATGGGTGTATTTATGGTAGTTAGATTGGTGGCAAATATCTTTATGTTTGCTGGAAAAGGTAATTTTATGAAGCAGTTAAAATTAAATAATGTGTCTGCTAAAATGGCTTTAAAAAAACCGTATCAGTGGAATCAGTGCTTCGTTTTTACATTGCACAGCAGCACCTTCACGAGGCTCAGCTCGGAACTGCTTAAAAGCAATCTCAAAGACTAGAATTTGAGGCACACCTTTATTATAAGATCCCAGAGCACACTGAATTTACAGAAGCCAAGCTTATGGCATCTCCTTCCCTCCTCTCATTTTCTTGGGAAGGAAATATGAGTGTACTGGCAAGGACGGATCTATGGAGAAAACTTCACTTTGGTTTCTTAGGCTGAACCACGAGGAGACCAGTACAGCAGAGGAGAGTAGGCAGTACGAGAGGTGCCTAGAGGAATGCGATTCAGTGTGTTTTAGCATTAGAGTTTTGGCAGGTGTTCCCCAGAGATGAATCCACGATCCTGATACCTTGGAGGGAGATCTAAGGGTGCTGACTGAAGATTAGGGAGCAGGAAACACTGAAAAAGGGACTGGAAATTTCTGCTATTCCTTCTAGTGGTTTGTATGTTTTTATTAGCATCTTTCAAGTATACATCACCCAGAAAGCACAACTTACACTCAAAAATTCAACAGAGTAAACCCTTGTGTGCTTATTGTTTGTTCGAGCTTAAGATACTGAGGAGAAAGCAGTTCATTCAAATCTCTTTCACATACGTCATCATTTTTAGATCTCTCACATGACTAAGCTATACCATTAATCCAGTTCATTCTGTTTATCCTAATTCTGCTTATCTCAATACCAACCAGTCAGGAAAAGTATCTACTCACCAGGGATTCCATACAACACCATACAGTCTGTAGAAGTGACAGTGCATACCAGTAGGAGCTCTGGTACATTGCAGACGTAATGTAAATATTGTGGGGTCAAAGGAAAGAAATAAGAGTGAGTGTAACTCGGAAGCCCAATGATCGTAACATCTATCTGTGTAGGAGATGCCCTGGTTTCTCACATGGGCTGCAACAACTACTTTTTGTGGCTTATTTGAAGGCTTATCTACTTAAGGCAGTCAGAACCTGGATGAAAAGCAGAAACTGTACTTCTCACTTCCCTGAAAAGAAAATGGCTAATAAAACATGCTTGTCTTGCTGCTTAACCCAAGCACTGTGACTTGAGCCAGTTATGCTGGTGAAGAAAAGTCTTCCCTTTCCTCTCATCTTCAGACATATAACTTTGTGGCTAAAGAACTGTTTTGAAGTGATGGGATATGCATGGCTGAATAGGCTTAGG